CCTGGGTGTCCTGGCTGGGGTTTGAACCATGGACCCTAGTGCTGCAAGGCAGAAGTGGTAACCACTAAGAGCGTTCTATCCCAAGATGAACTCTTTGAATAATTTGAAATCCCACACCAGTTTTAGAAATACCCAGCTGATGTCCTCAGATCCTCCCAACATGAAGGTGTGTGCATGTGTGTCTCTTTATTCCTGCTCTCTCATCTGGATTGTCTTCTTTACAAACATGCGCATGTAGTGGCTCTAGTGTCCTTTCATTCTTGTGAATTCATGCTTGATTCATTTAAAGAGGAACTCCGGTTTCATGGAAAAGCAGGGTTTTGTTGTAAAGGAGGACATATATAAGCAGTTAGCAGGTTGTAGCCCAGTGTCTGGCACTGGAAACTTGGTATGCTCGTGTTCTCATTATGCTGACTGACAGCAGAGATGACCCAAAGCAACACAAGGAAGCACCTGTGGCATCATAGGAACAAAACCTTTTTTTCCCCCTGTTTTGAACTACTTAATGGAGAACTATGAGGTGAGTGATTTTTCACTCAACCTCATAGTTCGAGCCGATGTGTGACAATGAAACTGTCACACGTCGGCTCTATAGATTGGGAAGTGAGCGAACACATAGCGTCGCTCACTCACTTCTCGATCATCTCCATGCAGAGAGCCGTATCTGTCACTCACGGCTCCCTTCAGGGATTACCCTCCCCTCTCCGATCCTCCAGCACTGACTGGTGGAACGGACGGGGGAGGGGCGGGCACAGCTGGCTCTGCCTCTAGATAAGCCGAGCCAGCTGTCAATCACAAAGCTGGGTGGATCTCAACCGCAATGTCGGGATCCGTCCCGGCTGCATCGTCTCAGTATACCGCGAGCTGTAGCTTACGATATACTGAGGTTTAGGTCACGGGAGGACGCTAGTTTATGTCCCGTGACCCTTAGGAGAACTATGGGGAAAAGCACTGACCCCATAGTTCTCCTTTAATGATGACACATTAAGAAGTGGCCATACAAATACCCAGGTCTATAATTCTTTTACATTTGCTTAATGAAGTTATAGTGTCCCATAGAAAAACTATTATTTAAAGTAAGTTATTTCTTTCTTTAACTTAAATCGGACTGATTATACGGGCAATTGAAATGCAAATTACACTTAGTGGAGTTCTTTAAAATGTTCCCACATTTTATTGATTGTTTCGTGCTTTCTATTTTTTTTTTAGCCAGATAACCCCTTGGAAAGATCGTCCGTAAATTTAGACCACCCAAATCCACTTCGCCCTAGCAGAGGATCTGATGGAATAGGTAATGTAAACTAACATTGTATTAGGAGGAGTATTAAGATCTACACTTTTCATTTATAAACCCATGCCTGTTCACAGAGTTTGTCACGTACATACGGCCTATTCATACCAGCCTGGTCCACTGCAGAGCATTTTAATGCATGCATGTTAAATGTGTGTTGCCTTGAGGTAGAGCGACCATTACTACATACACTGGAAAAGTTCCCATTTGGCAACCTTTTAACCATTAGTTCTCTACATGGTGTGAATATTGGCTTATTATGTCCAAAAACACTGTCACTAAATTTCCCATATATATGAGCCTACACAATTCCTACATACTGCTTTTAACCTGAATTTGTGCTTTGCCCATTTATGACAAAGCAAAAGGTTCCCTTTATCCCCCCCTCCCTAACTTCCCTTTCTTTCACGTGTCTGCTGCTCCATTTAGGTGCCAAAATTCCTGTGTAAGCTACAAGTCTCAGGGGTCATAGCTTACACAGGGCTGTGGAATACCTGTGTGACACTGCTGATTAGCGCAGCACTGTCACATGCTCTTCCATACTTGGACGTAGCGGGTATTTCCTATGCGCATTGAATTTTGCTCAAGGACAGCAAAGTAAGGGTTGAGGTTGTGGATTTGGGGTTCTTGGGGTTTTCATGAGCTGTAAGCCATAATCATCACAATTATGACAAATCACGGCTTGAACTATCTTGCTTTGCATGTAATGAGTCTATCTCATATATTATTTTCACCTTTTAAGTTGCATTAGTGAAAGAACGACGGTATGTGTTCGCTCACTTCCCGATCTACTGAGCCGACGTGTGACAGTTTCATTCTCACAGGTTGGCTAGAACTATGAGGCTGAGTGAAAATCACCTCATAATTCTCCTTTTAAACTGTTTCCTCTGTCTTCCTATAGACTATCTAGCTGGTGCTTTTATGTAATTTTACATGTTTTTAGTGTATCAAAATGTAAACTGTATCTCTCCTACTTATTACCTTATATTTTTGTTTGTTTAATATAGGCAATCCACCCCATCTAACAGTCAAATCCCAAAGTCGGAGTGGAGCTGCTGCAAGAAGCAGACAAGGACTATAAATAGACAAATGCATGTCACATGGGAGAAGTTCACCATGGGATAATGTTATAATTTAGCAGACACCAAATAGTAGAACTGTGTACAGCCCGGATTATGAACGGTAGGACTGTCAATTGTGGATTAAGGTTTGACAGCTTGTAAATGAAATGTTAAGCCAGCGGTATTAGGACACTTCCTCAGTCATTCTCTGCTAGCTGCTGCTTCAAAAACAAATACAATGTGGTTGTTAGGAAATATGTATATTTATGTTCAAAGCTAAAACACATTCAGGGGAATTGATTAAAATTGGAGCAGGCAGAATCCGGAGCAGTTGCTCATGACAACCAATCAGCTTCTCACTTTAATTTTTAAAGGTTAACTTAAGAAACGGAACGGAGAGGCTGGTTGGTTACTATGGGAACCTGCTGCAGATTCTGACTGCTCCAGATTTGATAGATTCCTCCAATTGTTTTCTAGACATGTTTTCAATGGTTTTAGGGAGTTAAATGGATATCGTTTTTGTTTTTATTCAGATTGTTGCTGGTTTACCCTTTAATAACACATTCCAGGTCTTTGGCATACCTCAAGGTTCACAAACTCCTTGTTGCCCAGATAGCATGCTAGGGTGCAAAGAACTTTGTTCAGATAAAGTGTACCCGTTTCTGTCAGAATACAACAGCCTGTCAAGGGAGGTGGGATCCCCCTCTATCTATGCTGTTTGGCGTGGATAGGTGAATAGTTTTTCTCGTTCAGCCGGCTGGGATGGGGGGGGGATAAGAAATAACGTGTAAGAGTGTATTTATAAATGAGTCGCAGAGCTAATAGCTCTGTTAAATTGCATGTACATTTGTTCTGTGCAAATGGAGGGAAAATAAATTAGCATTTTTCCCCAGTGGTTGAATGTAATTTCAGGTAAATACCGCATTATGGCCACTAGATGAAGCTGAGGAGCATAGGCAATAATTGCTAGTCAGCTCCATTTAGTGTCCATAATGCAGTATTTACCTGAAATTACGTTCAATCCGGAAAGCAAATATGCAAATAACATTCATTTTGCCTCCATTTGCACAGAACAGAATGTACATGCAGTTTTGCAGGGCGCATGGTTTATAAATACACCCCATGCTGTATGGCCAACCCTTGCTCAGGTTCATTTTAACCACACAAAAAAAAAGTGTCCCTGGTCGGCTGAGTAACACGTTAGCTATTTCTATCGCTTGAAGACTCCAGTGCCAAGATATACAGTGGGCATTTCCTGTTCCACCTCATCCTTTACAATATTAAAAAAAAAATCTAATGCATTCTTCATTACCTAGAAAAAGGCAAATGACAGATATGTCTAGCTGTGAAAGAATGACAAATTCATGATGAAATTGTGGAAGCGGGGTAGATACTTCAAACTACTGTAGAGAATTCTCAGCACTGCAGTCAATCCATGGGTGGAGCTCACAACTTTTTACAGAAACTACATTTGTGGTAAAAAAATCATTTGCTGCTTTAAAGGTAATCTATACAGATAAAAACGTGAGCTGCCAGGCTAGATGAGGAAATCCAGTGCAGTAACCAGCTTAATGAGCTAAGGCTGTAGAAGCACAACACTCCTCCGTGCCGATCTCCAGATATTGTAGACGTAAGGACACAGTGTGCAGAAAGAATGCATTTTATTGGAATTAGCATAAGATGTGTGAAACATGCCGCATGACCTTGTGTCTACAGTTATTACTGGATTAGAGTGTAAAGTGTTCAGATTCTACTTTGCTTCACCCCTGACCTAAAACCAACATGTATGTCTAAAAGGGCTCCTGCTACAAACATACCTATTTTAGGCTTGTGAGGAAAGTCTGCTCCTTCAAAAACAATCTGCAGGACAGCTCCCATGTTTCTATCTATATAGGTTCCCATTAAAACCAAGCATGGGACTAAATATAAAAAAGTTTGTAACAGGTTTACGGGCCCATTTACATTTCTACTGATAATTCCAAATGAATGTGTGCTGCCTTAACAGTCAAAGCACCTGTACTGTTTTTGCAAACCTAGCACATCACAGGTGTGGTTTTTGTGTATTGTACACCTGTGTTGGGGTGTCATTCAAGTTCAATGCATCTCTCAGGCATACTTTGCTGCTTTAATGAAATGCCTATCACTCTGCAGACAGTGCATGAAAGGTGCCCATACACCTTGCGACTATCGTACGATAATCGCAAGGTGTATGGAAGGCGTGCGACCGTTTCTACTGTACGGTCGCACGTCTTTTGTCGAAGGAGCATGCTAGAAACCCCGCCGAGAATCGTATGATTGTCGGCGGGTTAGTGGCGTGCTCGTTCGACAAATGCCGAACGGGCCGGTGTGCGCACGTGCACACACTGCCCATTCAGCATTTGTCATCGGAAGCCCGCCCCGCAAGTACGATCTGCCTGTCCATGATGGGCAGATCGTACGCTTTTTTAAAATTACTTTACAACCCTTGCAAGACTTTTGTCTTGCGAGGGTTGTAAAGTGTATGGCCAGCTTTACACCGACATTTTGAATGGCACTTCAACACCTGTGTACAATCAAAAACGTACCTGTGCTATAGTTCACCACACACAGATCTGCTGGGTTGGCCAAAACAATGCAGGTACAGATGAGCTCTGATTTTTACAACTTTTCAGCAACTCAAGCCTCCTTAAACCTTGTTAGTCAGTGTATTATTCTGACAACTAGCATCTTCAGAAAGGAAATTGGCAGTGGCAGCCCCCATGTGACGCTTAAAAGGTTTGCTTTAAGATTATTATTTTTTTCTGTAGCTGGAGGAGGGAAGGAGCCAGGACTAAGGTAAAAAGAACGTCATATCTTTTGGTACATGATTCTTTTTAAAGAGGTTGCTGAGAAGACTGATCCTTTTAAAAGGAATCATTTACCATGAGATATGAAGTTGGTCATTGCTGACCTCTTGGAAATGTTTGTCTGTCTGGCTTTGGTCACAAATCCAGGACAGTTGGAACACATGATATCCATGTGTTATACAAAGTCCAGCTTATTAGCAACGGTCTTTCCCCTGACTGTTAGTGGTTGGAATTCAGATTGACACTTTTTTTCACAGCAGTAAAACATATTTTGAATGGCTTGCCAAATAACAAGGAAATGAATGTCATTACATCTCAAAACATTTATGGCTTTATAGAATATGTACTTATGTTTTTTTTGCCAACACCATTATTTGTTACCCCCAACTGTGTAAATATGTATTTTTTTTTTTAAGAAGTTTAAATAAAAGGCTTAGCAATTTTGTTCAGTAGCATGTTGTGTTCAATCAACAATGGCACACCTATTGAGCAAATGCCAACAACTAAGCCATGTATGTCTTTAAATTCAATTGCTGCTACAAGAAAATAAGGACAATAAGAAGCTTGAAATATATAGAGATCTGTGTGAGAAGCCAAATAGAAAACAGCTGAAACAAGTCATATTTTCAACTATTTTACTGAAAAAAAACCAAATGGAATCAATTCTAAATATTGACAGTTACAGTTCACTATAAAGTTTTTCATTAGGTAACAGCAAAAGGGAACACATTTACAATCAAGTTTGTTATGCTTAGACAAGTGCTATTTTTTTTTTTTTTAAATATACAGTCCACGTAAAGACCTTTTTTAGGGCCAGTTCACACCATATGCAGTCCGTTTATTTGACTTCTGCAGTCAAAATACATCACAATGCTTTCGTATGGGCTTTCTTGTGCTTTATTCACACCATTGCAGTGTGAATAAAGCACAAGAAAGCCCATAGGAAAGCATTGTGATGTAATTTGACTGCAGAAGTCAAATAAACGGACTGCATATGGTGTGAACTGGCCCTTAAAAGTTCTTGGTGGTCTGTGTTATCAAGCAGGGATGCATTATTCATATACGCTAATCTGATTTCCAGCCGCAGTTTAGAAAATGTACCATCTAATCAGCCACCATCTTCAACGCAGCTTTTATTTTTCCTTTTCCAATTTCATAAGTTTGCACAAAAGTACATTTAAAAACCAAGAAGTCAGAGAGAACGGTTTAGTACTGCATCCAACTAATATTAATCTAGTAACAATCCCACTGTGGGGTGAATACACAAACAAGTACACAATATATAGATATGAAAACCTATGTAATCAATATGGCCGTTAACTCTACTGTAGATCCTGCACATCCCCAACAGCTTTTCTGTGGGCTTATACTTCCACAGGCAGGTTTGCTGACAGAACAGAGGAGATGAACAAGACAAGGAAGAGCAGAATGTTTCTGAACTAAAAGCATTTGTATTGTCCATTTATGATGTAACGTACACAAGTTCACTTTTTTCCTTTCTTTGTCCCGGTGGCTTTTTTCCCTCCTTTGTTGCAATATTTGGCTTCCAATTGTGCCATGAAACCATCAAGTTCCTTTTCTCGAGATTTCTGCTTTTTCTGGGGGGGAGGGAAAAGGTAAAAGCATTAGAGTAAAATATCATTTTCAAAATAAACCTAAGATGTATGGACCCTGCATTCTTACGTGTATTAAAGCTTTTAGGTCATCTTCTTGATCACCTAGCCCCATTTCCTTTTTCATTTCTTCTGCTTCTTGGGCTTCTTCATTGGCCTAATAAATACAGTATTTAAAAGAAACACTGGGATCATAAACAAATGCATGCCATAGCCATATTAAAAGGATATATATATATATATAAACAAAAATGACAGCGTTTTGGTAAAGCTCATCTTTCTACTGTTTTCCGAAAAAGAAATGAGGCCTTTAAAGAAAGAAAAAAAAAAATACAGTCCTTACAGTCAAATGTGGTGGAGGTTCAATTATGTTTTGGGTTGCTTTACTGCTTCAGGCACTGGATGTCTTGACTGTGTACATGGCATTATGAAATCTGAAGACTACCAAAGAATTCTAGGGTGCAACGTAGGGCACAGTGTCAGAAGGTCAGGTCTCTGTCAGAGGTCATGGGTCTTACAGCAGGACAATGACCCAAAGCACATGTCAAAAAGCACCCAGAAATGGTTTCAGACAAAGTGCTGGAGAGTACTGGACTGGCCAGCAATGAGTCCAGATCTAAATCACATAGAGCACCTGTGGAGAGATCTCAAAACAGCAGTTGGGAAAAGGAACCTTTCCAATCTGCGAGACCTGAAGCAGTTGGCGAAGGAAGAGCGGTCCAAAATTCCTGTAGAAAGAAAGGTGTAAGAACTCATTGATGGTTACAGGAAGCGATTTATTTGTTATTTTTTCCAATGGGCTGTACTAAATATTAATTGAGGGTGCCAATCATTTTGTCCAGCCCATTTCTAGAGTTGTGTCATGTCAGAGTTGGCCTTTTTTCCTCCACTTTTTGGTGTCATAGCAATATAAACATGAGAATGCCTAAATATTTGTAATAGCGCAAAGTGGTGCATTATCTGACAGAAATGCAGGGGTGCCAATATTTTTGGCCATGATTGTAAAATGATTACTTTTAACTGCATGAAGGTTATATTATGTTATAAAAACACAAGTAGTGCTTAGAAAAGCAGTTGATCAGCGTATTACGAATATTTTTAACCACGCACCTAAACATCAGCATGCCCACCGCATATTATTGTATCTGACAATTACAGTATCAAAAACAGACACACTGCAATATTTTGGCTTTGGTGGAATCTGCAGGCTGAAGAGGTTATGTTTCTAAATCAACTTCTAGCATTCATGCTTTCAACAGGTTTGGCTTTTATGATGATAATATGATGAAGAGCCACAATGAATAGTTTTACAATTACTAGGGGAGACCTGAAACTGTGATCTGATTCCCGGGACCTGAGAACCAAAAACGTTTACCTTTCGCCTGGAACATTGTTTTTACAGCATAGGGCTCATGGCTGAGAATGTTAATAGCCAGACACCATCTGCTTAAAGTGACATTAAAAAGTCAAATTTTTTTTTCCCCCTCCCCCCCCAATGGTAATGTCAGCACTTACCTTAAATGACGTCTTTTAGTCCGATCTTCTTCTTTCCTGTCCTTTCCAGCGTTGCGGCGGGTGTCCGATCCAGCGCTGACTCCTCTGTCCTTGCTGGCACTTCTGATCCCACGGTGTCTGCATGCGGTTGCACGCGTCCATAGACTTACCTTGTGTCTCTCCTCGTCTCCCGGCTAAACAGAGGCTTTAGAAACCCATTAAGTTTTGATGTAGTAACCTATGGTAATTTTTTTTTTTTGCGCAGTGAGCCATTGGGAAAATGGCCCTTATTTTTCTGAACTCGAGACAACAGAAAAGAAGGGGAAAACCTCCACTTGGACAGGTGTCACTGAAAGAATTATGTTGCTTACCCTTTTCCTGCGCTGTTCTTGTTTCTTTTTAGATTCTTTTACAAAAGCATTGTGAGCTGGAACTTCTTTCTTCTTGATGGCTTTCTGGATAATCTCTCTAATCCTTGGCTCATTATCAATATCAGCAAATATTACAGAGTCCATCAGGTTATCCATGTCACCTTCAAAGTCCAAATAGGCTTGTATAATATCTGCCCTCTCTTCCTCTGATCCTCTGTACTTTTCTTCATAAGCTTGGATATCTTCCACAGTTATCTAACAGAATAAAACAAAATTTAAAAAAGTTATTGAAAAAAAAAAAAAGTATGGCCATGTTGATCCTGACTTGCTGCCGTGAAAGGTGCATGCATCATTAAACATTCAATTATACTAAAGCATTCAGCTCAGTACTATTAATACTATCAGCCATAGTCAACAAACAGTCATAATAACAATGCTTAAGATCTAATAGGAGGGGCATGTCATACAAAAAGGTACTAATTGTGTGAGATGAGTTAATGGAAGAAGTAAGAGTACAGTTATGTTGTGGGGAGACAGGTTTCCATGAAAAGATAAGCTTTCAAGGATTGCCTACAGGCGGGCAGAGTAGGAGATAAGCGGGTTATGACACGCCGCCCAGCTTCCTAACCAATCAGGAAGCTGGGCGGCGAGTCATTACACACTGTCCTGCTTCCTGATTGGCTGGGAAGCCAGTTGCATGCTTCCTCGTCACCTGACTTCCTGATACCAGAAGTTCCGGTATCGGGAGCATTTGCGTGTGTACGAGTACTCCAGGAACTAATAAAAGGGTGGCTCATCCATTCATTAGTTTCCGTACTCTGTCTCTGCTGTAACAGGAAGTAAACATTGCCATGTGATCACCAATAAAAGGTGTCACAAAACACAGAGCTGGTCTGATCGGCTTTGATCTTGAGGGCGCTGTTCTCCCCGGTCTAATATCAGTGAGAGCAGCAGCTTCTGTACACACACACACACACCCTCCTGGAACAATGGGGCTGCGCACTGGCCATTCATGTTCAGTGGCAGTTTAAATATAAAATTTTGTAAATCCTGCCTCTGCTGATCATCTGTATATCAAGGAATATGACGGGTAGAGTTGTCTGAACCATAGACTTGCACGAAGGGCTTGTTCACACCAATTACAGTGCGTTCCAGCATGGTTAGCTGGATGGGGGTGGAAGAGAGAATGTGGCTGTGGGGCCCCCTCCCACCCCAGAACGCAGGGGGAGTTTAGTATGCGGTGTAACCGGTGTGAACAAGCCCTAAGAAGCAGAGAAGTAAACCACCGTGAACGTGTGCAAATACTGCATAAGTAGTGGACAAATATGGCCTCTCCCATATACGCAAGATATCTTTAATATCTATTTAAAAAAATAGAAGCAGATTATACAATTGCTTTAAAAGGTTTGCGAATTTAGATGAAGTTGTAGGTAACATTACCTTTTTAAACAGCAAACGCCAATATTCCTCCCAGTTACGATCTTGAGAAATTGCATCAGACTCCTCGTCAACAATTCCTTGCTCATCATAGACTGCTTTCTGTTCTTTGTCACTGAGAACTGAATAGACTTTTCCAAGTATCTGTAAAAAGAGGCGCATCCATTAAAAGTGAGTTCTAGGTATGAGCACAGTAAACGGGGCAGAAGAAGTGCTGGCTAGGGGAATAGCAATGACGATTGTGGTCAGCTGTGTTCAGAGGAAAGGCATACCATTTCTAGTGCCATCTGTCCTAAAGCCTTATGGGACATCTTTATATACTTTCTGATTTTTTATTTTATTTGAGAGCCATCTGCACTTTGGAGACCAGAGGAGATAATGATATCAGCAAGCCAGGTCACTGAGTGTGGTTAGACCTGTTACAGGTCTGATGATCCAGGGGATGTTTGGGTACCAAAGGTTTTTTTTTATCACCGAGGCTTCGTTCACTCCTACAATGTAGGTGCGTTTAGGGATCCCTGCATCAGGAGATTGTGACATTGCAGCAAGAATTTCTAATCTGCCATTTGCAAGCAGCGGCCGTCACCCATTCAAGTTAATGATCGGGTGACAACGGCTGCATTTGAAAGCAGCAGAACAGCGACACTAGGGCTGCAACAACTAATCGACATAATCGATTATTGGAAAAGTTGTCAACTTTTTCAATAATCGATTAATCGGCTTCCGATCAGTTGGCCCTGTTCAAACCCACTGTATGTGATATGATTGCATGTGGTTAGAAATCAATCACTATCCCTGGAGGCATTGACCATCCTTCCAGGCATAGTAATTGATTCCTATCACACAATTACATGCGGTGTGCCAGCGTGACAACTTTTAGATGTGCCCGCTGTCACCCGATCATTAATTTGAATGGGTGACGTGACAGCTGCTGCTTGTAAATGGCAGATTTAGGATTCCTGCTGCAGGAAATTGCAAGTTCCTGACACAGGAATCCCTAAACGGTGTGAAATATAATATATATATATAAAATATATATATATATATACAGCCCTGTACGTGTGACACTTGAACATTATGTACTAAATTGAGAATTTGATGTAATGTATTTAGTACGATTAGCACTGTAACATTGATCATGTCACCCATATCACCCTTCATGTTACCCCTATACCACCTTCCTTATAATAGCCCAATGATGAAGGTATATTAGCTACCAGTCCCAGCAGAATGAAGGGTCTACTATCACTCACCTGGAACTTCAGATTGGCTTCCTCTTTCTCCTCGTCCGACACCCGGTCTGGGTGAACCTGCAGAGAGATCTTGTGGTATCCTCGTCGGATCTCCGCCTCCCCGGCCGTCCTCCGCACCCCGAGCACTGTGTAGAGGTCCAAGCTTCCGAAATAGCGCTTACAGTTCTGGAGCAGCGTCGGCATGATGACACTTATTCAGTATACAGAGCGAAGCACAACAACAAGTCCGCACTGACAGCTTTTGGCGGGTCTTTCAAAGCCGAGACGCTATTGGCTAAGAACTCCGCGGTCGTACGTCATATCCGGAGCGACACCCGGAAGCAGACGAGTGCTTTATGGGATGTTTAGTGATCCTCTCAATGGAAAATTTACACAAGTAACAGTCAGACCTTAGGGAGGGAGGACGGTTAGGTGTACAGTAACGTGTATAATCTTACGTGTGTGATGTAACAGTCAGACCTTAGGGAGGACGGATAGGTGTACAGTAACGTGTTTAATGTAACAGTCAGACTTGAGGGAGGGCGGGTAGGTGTACAGTAACGTGTTTAATCTTACATGTGTCATGTAACAGACGTCTTGCTATGGTCATTAAAAACAGATTATACAATTGTTTTTAAAAGGTTTGCTGATTTAGATGAAGTTGTGTGTAACATTACTTTTTTGAACAGCTAACGGCCAATATTCCTCCCAGTTACGGTCTTGAGAAATTGCATCAGACTCCTCATCAACAATTCCTTGCTCATCATAGACTGCTTTCTGTTCTTTGTCACCCAGAACTGAATAGACTTTTGTAAGTATTTGTAAACAGAGACGCATCCGTTAAACGTGAGTTCTAGATATGAGTACAGTAAACAAACAACAAAAAAAGACCAGAAAATATAACAGATTTTTGTATCAAGAAAATCAAGCCAAAGGATCCAGCAGGGAAAATATTTGTGTAATTAGCATTGCTGCCAGGACTGAAGTCATCAATCACTGCACAATGTAAAGGTGGCCATACACTGTACAACCATCGCAAGACCTTAGTCTTGCGATGGTTGTAAAGGGATTAAAAAAACGTACGATCTGCCCATCTTGGACGGGCAGATCGCACTCTCAATCATCGCAAGCCACGCCCCCTGAGGGGCGGGCTTGCGATTTCTGTAATGAGGGGCGGGCTTACGCTGACTGCAAACGGGCAGTGTGCGCACACCGGCCCGTTCGGCAGTTGTCGAACCAGCAGGCCACCAACTCGCTGAGAATCGTACGATTCCCGGCGGGTTTTCAAACATGCTGGTTTGATGGAAGACGTGCGACCGTACAGTAGAAACGGTTGCATGTCTTCCATACACTGCACGATTCTCGTACGATCGCGGGATTTCCCGCGATTCTCGTACGAGAATCGTGCAGTGTATGGGCACGTTAAGGCAGAGACTGGAACAAACAGTAAGTGGTATGCTGTTCATGATGGCAGCAACCTGTGTACTGCTGAGGAAGAAGCAGTCTTAATTGCAGTGCAGCTGTTGGTGTGAATGCAGCCTAAATGACAGACCGTGGTGCAGACACAGGACTAGATGACTGTTCTGTCCGAACCGCAAATTGGATCACGGCCTGAAGAAACTTTATCACCAGATTTTCTTGGATTTGAATTCACCACCCAGATGTAGATCCTCGTCAGCCACAATGCCAGCCGCTCACCAACCCGATGAAAGAAAAAATCCCCGGTGGCCCCTCCCTGCCCAGGGAATAACAGCTCAGAAACCAGAAGTAATAAAATCATTGCTTTCAGCTTCATTCCGTGGAGAGATCAGCGAATGCATGTTCTCTGGTCTCTCTACCCGCCAGCCCCTGAGGATGCTGGTGCCAGGCCCGCTGGAGGGGCGGCAGAGCATGGGAAGCAAGGTGGGTAGGGGGGACATACATTGATAGTCGGCTTTACACATGCAAACAGCCATCGGGAGTCTGTTTACAGGGGCCTGCTGCTGTCGACCTATAACATACGTCAGTGGCAGCAAAAGGGTTAAATTACATATTAGGTTAACAATAGACCTCTGATAGAACCATGCCAATTTTAAATGAATGCCCCACACCTAATTAAAGCACTTTCCCTGCCTACAGTAGCTTGCTGGAAGCACAGCAATGTACTAATAATATATAATAAATACAGGGCATTCTATTTCAAAACCATGGATATAAATATAGAATAACCCCCCACTGGCGCTCTAGAGGAATATCGGCTAATGCGGCTCTGCTCCCTCCGCCGCCGCAGCCTTGCATTCTACAGCGCTGGCTTCCTTTGCCACCAGGGACAGTGGTACCAGCGGTGCAGCAGTGGGGACATCAGACAGTGGACAGCATGGTAAAGTACAGTACCATCTACCGGTACACATTACAGTACAGTACCATTAAATTAAGCAGTGCCTTCAGGGGGACAGCAGTTTGTGAAGTTTGGGACTGGAGTGCTCCCTGTCACTGCGCTGGCTGGGGGGAGTCCCCTGTCATCCCCTTAATACAGTATGTCCCTGCAGGCTGATACCATCTCGCCTGCAAGTTCCCCCTCACATGCTACCACCAAACTAGGTCTTATTTTCAGGGTAGGTCTTATATTACAGGAATCTTGAAAAATAGTGCTAGGTCTTACTTTCAGGGTAGGTCTTATTTTCGGGGAAACAGGGTATAACAGCCTCAACTCTTCTGGGAAAGCTGTCAACAAGTGTGTCTGTGAAAATGTACCCATTCAGCTAAAACAGGATGGTAGTTGCAAAGACCTATCTCAAAGGTGTTTCAAAACTTAGCAAACCATGTCTTTATGGATCTGGCTTTATGCACTGGTTAAAAGTGATATTTAAAAGAAAAATAGGGCCTACCCTTTTTTTGGCAACAGTTCCCTTTAGGATCACAGGAGGACATATACCATTGTTTCCTGTGACCCAAAGCTCAGCATAAAGCGGGCTGTTACCCGCTATATACTAACTACGCAGAGCTGCACTGCGACAATACTGTCGAGATCCACACCGCTGGCTGTTTGACAGCTGGGTCTGCCTTTCTAGAATCAGAGCCAGCTGTGCCCGCCCCCTCCTCCGTCCGTTCCTCCAGCTACCGCTGGAGCAATGGAGAGGGGCGGGTGGAATCCCGGCCGGGTGCGGTGACTAACAGTCACTGCTCTCTGCAGGGAGAAGATCAGAAACTGAACGATCGGCGTTATGTGATCTCTCGATTCCCAAACTATAGAGCTGGTGTGTGACAGTTCCTGATATATCACACTCCCCATAATTCTTTAAACAGAAAAGGGCCTTTCCCAAACTTTTGTTCCAAGATTAGAAGTGCACAATTATCTAAAATGTATTTCTACTGTATGGTGTAGCATTAACGGTACCCTCCGGTCACAAGACCCGAATGTAATTATTTACAGGGGTGTCCTTTCACTTCTGGCCCTATAGTGTACTGCTTTAATGTTAATGTTAGAAACACTTTTAATATTTGAATGCTTATTTACTTATGTTATACAGTCTACAGCACAATGGTATACATACCATATAATTGGAAATGTATCAACTCTGGTGCCCTGACTGCCTATCACATTTCTTGAGACCCTAAAATACCAGGACAGTAGAAACACCCACAAAATGACCCCATTTTGTAAAGCAAACACCCAAAGGTATTTGATAAGATGCATGCTGGGTGTTTTAAAGATGTATTTTTTTTGCACAAGCTATCAAAAAATGTAGATTTTTTTTTTTCTTTTTTTTTCTCAAAGTTGTCAGTTA